CTAAGGCATGATAATATAAACACTTAAAAATGTTAACATATTGAATGGTCAGAAAAGAAAACAACAGAGCAACTTAGAAATACTTCATATATGGCAAAATTTTATTTTTCTTAGTTTTGATTTTGAATGGAACAAGACTTTTGAACACATGCTTAAAATTAAGCAGGACTGATAAAGTCAATGCCAAATGCCAGGATTTCACTCTAAGGATGTATTTGCATAATTATGGGCATGATTACGGGACCTCCATGAATAATTAACTGAATGCGGTTTAAAGGAAAGAAGTAAATGGAGTAGTGCAGCATCCCTAGGGCTGCTTACTTTTCACACATCTAGATTTCAAGCATTCCAGTGGGTTCATAACATGAAATGACCATTTGTTTCCTTAAAATAGACACTTAGCATTAAAGCCATACAGTAAATCTCAGATCTTACCAGTCTAAGACAAAAACCTCAACATTTAAATGGCTCATAATAACTTTTACACATGCACACACGCTTCCTTCCTTAGATTGCCTCTTCCAAGACAAGGAAGGAATAAGGTTTCTGGGCAGCAGCAGTTGCTGGACAGGAGGGGCAGCAGGGCTGCAGTGCAGTGAGCTGACAGCTCCTGTCCCATCCTGTGGAAATAACCAGTCCCTCTGGGCACACTCCGACCTGGGATCCCTCCCTGCTGACAAACACCAGGTGAGAAGCTCAATGTGAATAAGCAGTGCCAAGGCCAGCTCTGTGAACAGGAACCTTCCCCTCTCTATGCATTAAAAAAAACTACACTTGGTATGAAATAGTTGTGAAACCAGCATAATTCTACTGGCACGGCATGCTCGAAACTTGGGGTTTTTATTGTATCTACAGTGTGATACTGGGAGACATTGTGTCACATAAATATGCATTGAACTTAAGCAGAATTTTAATGTGTTCTGAGCCATAAACATGACTATATAGTTCTCTGGTCTGAAATACAGAAATATAAATGACTAAACTTCAAAGGAAGTTATATTAAAGATAACTCATCTTTCAGTGGCTCTCAGATATTTTAATTTATACGCCTAGGAAGAAGAAAATGTTGTTGAAATAGAAATTAATGTGAATTAAATGTGTGTAAAGTGAATTAAATGTGTATACTCATAAGCTTAAAGTATGCCAGCCCAGTTTGCCAGTATGCATGCAAGATGCCAGCACAGCTGCCTTCTTATTGCTTTTCTCCCTATGTATATATGTATATATAAACATGCAAGACAGAAATGCTTTTTAAACACAGCTATCACTGTGTACCTCAATGTGGCCACATATCTGCTGTCATAACAGGGCTGAAGCACAGATAACGATTTGCTGGTCAAAAAAACTTCTGAGTATGACAGAGATTAATTCTGAGGTGTTTTTGTACTGACCAAAGAGACTGCCAGTATCTCTGATCCACCTGATTCAGCAATATAGGTATTTTCCATCAGCAGCAATTCCTAAAAACATCTATTCTACTTAAAATAAATGAGTCACAAGCCAGCAAAAACGACCACATGCATATAGAGTCCCTGCATATATTCTGTCCCTGGAAATGTTTAAGGCCAGGCTGGATGGAGCCGTGAGCAACCTGGTGGAAAGTGTCTGTGTCCATGGCAGGGGGGTTGGAACTAAATGATATTTAAGCTGCCTTCCAACCCATTTTATAATTCTGTGATACACATCAACGAGGACATGTACATATTTTTAAGAACCCATTTCTTGGAACATCAAACTTTCATGACCTCCTCCTCTGCTGTTTGCAGCAGTGCAGACCACAATCCCACTCCTTGCCAGCACCACAAGTTCATGGTGGCACAAGATATCCGAGGGCACTGCAGCAAATGCTTACACAGAAGTGTTATTGGAAAAGTATTCTTAGTTACTATTCATCCCTCTTAGGAAGTGGAAAACGGTGGAAGTGCCAACTGCATCTGATCAGCCAGATCAGAGTTTGGGAATCACTGTCCTAAATAACTCATAACCCTCTTACTATAGAACACCACCCTCTTTGTCTTGCTCAGGCTACTATTTTAGGCTCTTTCCTGCAAGCACAGCATAGCATGATGGTAAAAACTTATGGCTCAGATCTGCTAATCATGCCCACAGTTCTATCTGTCATTTGGTGGACATCTAGCCAGCAATTAACAAGATTATTAACTTGCTGAAGTATATATTCAATATTACCCAAAAAAATTCAGTCATTTTTTCTGGATTTACATCACTTGAGCTAGAGGCAGACTCTCACTCATAGCCAATTCTGCAGTTTCATTAGAAGCCAGAGGGCTGCAAAAGCAAACTCCACTCAGATGAATTGTAGCAACAGCCAAGAAGCAATATTTCAAACAAATTTAAGCTGCACACCACTTCCAAATTTTCCTGTAATGCTAGAATTTTTTTTTTTTTATGCACAACTTAATTTTAGTTCAAAACTTCACACGGATGGTACATTAACATTTTGGGTTCACATAATCAATGTCTTCACAGATAATTTGTTATTACTTCACCACTTCTCTGCTTTTCCCATACTGTTTCTTAGGATGTACTTCAGTTTCAAAATGGTCCGAAGGCCCTACTCCTCCTGTGTAAAAGGAAAGCAGTGGAAACCCTCTTTTGATAGACTAGAAATCAATCATTGCCTACCTTTTTTCACCAAGAACCATAAACTAAGGTTAGTTTAGCAGATGCTAAGGACACACTATTATCTTCTACAATCCATAGAACATAAGAGATCAAAACAGAAATTTATTTTGTAAATTGACTATTAAGAACGCCACTCAAAATTTCCTGTCATTCAGAATGAAAAACATGCCTTGCTGATTTGACTGTGTATAGATCAACACTCATCTGTACAGTTTATAAAGTTCTAGAGATTTATCTTGAATATAATTTACCATTTGACCAAATATTGTATCATTAAGTCATTAATGCTTACTAACTACTTATTAGATATACGATATTTTAATATAACAATTGTGTCTCTTTAGTTGATTAAGATATGAATCACAGGATTCCATATTTCTGTAGCACTAGGCAAACATAGACTATTAAGGCAAATAAATTAATAATTTAATTCTGATTTAATTTTTCTTAACTTTTAGTCTTACTTTGCTACCAAAAGTAGTTTACTGGCATCCCTAAGGACAACAAAAGCAAACCTTCAGTCTTCTTGAAGGACACTGAGGCATTGGAGTGTGTCCAGAGAAAGGCAAGGAGCTGGGAAAAGATCTGGAGTACAAGTCTGATGAGGAACAGCTTAGGTAGCTGGGGGTGTTCAGCTTGGAAAAAAGAAGTTCAGGGAGGACTTTATTGTTCTGTACAACTACCTGAAAAGAGGCTGTAGCCAGGCAGGGCTTGGTCTCTTCCAGGTAACAAGAGATACAACAAAGGAAAACAACCTCAAGTTGTGCCAAGAAAGGATCAGATTGGAAACTAGGGAAAAGTTCTTCACTGAGAGTGGTTAAGCAATGGAACAGGCTGCCCAAGGAAGTGGTGGAGTCACCATCTTGGGAAGTGTTCAAAAACAAGGAGATGTGGCACATGATATGGTTTAGTGGGTATGGTGATATTTGGTTGCCTTGGACTTGATCTTGGTGGTCTTTTCCAAATGTAATGATTCCATGATTCTATACTTATTTCTGCCTGAGATGTTTGATTTCTTATTTCTCATCAAGCCACAGCAGATGTCCACGAATTAAACCACTCTAAAACATGGCTATGTATGTACACCTGCTGTCTATGCATATGTTTTATGCTAATTTTAAACAAAATAAGAGAGAACTAGAAAACTGTTCTCCTTTTTCTAATTTTGCCTACACCTAAGGATTGATGCGGCCTGTTTTACATTCATAGCAGTGTTCAAAACAAATGTCTTTTAAAAAAGCTGAGGAGGAGGATAAGGACATTAAAATTGAGGTATAACTCTTGTATTCACTGAGTAAAATCAAGTTTCAAATAGTTTTGCACAGTAGATTGATGGCTGGGAGCAGAATTACAGCAGTGAAATGTTCAGTTAATGGTGTGTGTCTCTGTGGAGCAGAGCTTGCAAGAGTCCTCTGAATAGAAGGATATCATACAGAAGTAGAAATGAAGGATGTAGCTTTGTTCAGTTTCCAAATTGCTAAGTGATATCCCTCCAGTCAATTAGGAAGTAGTCTGTGATTGATGGCTGCTGTTGGAAAACTTGCTTTAGTCTTTATGAGACTTTTAAAATCTACTTGAACTAAATGTAATCAGGCATATTATTCCTATGTAGTTTGCTACATTTTAAACCCCTTTACAGGCCATAAGTCAAGTGCACAATTTAAATGCTTGCACACTCTAAATCAGTGGTCTCCAAAGTGGGGTGTTTGCACAGTGTGATATAGGAAGAAAACATCAGAAATGCTGATTTGCTGCTACATCATAGAAGTTTGACCAAGTCCAGAGGACTTCTAACATTAATCAGCTTTCAGGACAGGATTTACTGCTCATTCCCCTCTATCTAATAATGCTTGAAGCACCACCTGTTGCTGGAGATCTGCATGTCAAAAGACGCTTAACAGATACACAAGCAACCTCTCCCCTGCAAACATCCCATATCCCAGTCTCAGAAAGACATACTTGCTTCCAGGAAATTCACTGATTTAGTACAGCTATTTTTAAATTCAGAGATAATTAAATCTCTCCTAATGTACTCAATCTCTGAATTGGACATTTAATTTAAAAATGTACTTTTCTAATCTACTCTTCTCAACATAAACACATTCTAGACCTTCTTCACTGTAACGTGTCTCTAACGATTACCAACAGTAAACTCTAATTCTCTTAATGGCACATATTTGGCAAATCTAATTTACCTAAAGTACTTAATTAACTTCTCTTCTCATACAGCTGTGAAAATTGTTCTGTGGAAATACAATAGATACATTTAAAACTCACGTCTATCTGTTTTCAATAAGTACAAGTTTTGCCACTTAAATCGGAAGGGTACAAATTATGCACAAGTTACAGTACTGTACCTTCGATCATTTCCATCCCATTCGGAGGTTTACAGTGTCCAGCATGGCTCACAACCCAGACAGGATACTGCTGGTTCAGTCCACAATAAAGGGCCTGTATAAAGGTCCTGTAATAACCTGCCAGTCCAGGGTTACCTGCCAAAAAACAAAACATACAAGCACAGTCAATAATAACCTTCCAACGGCAAGCATGCTGCTTCAAAACAAACTAAACAGCACTATACTGCAATTTGTTAATTTATTTTCTCTAGTACATTTCCAGTTTTTATTTCCCCAATGTTATGGGCTATGCTAATCAACTTGTTAATTTCACTGACCAATGGCACTCATGGGAAGCATATTACAGAATTACTTCGAAATTGCAAAACCTAAAATTGAAGTCCAACACAGGTGAAGACATTTTTTTCCAAAGGACAACCAGCTTGCTTATCTATCCCATCCAGTCACAGAAATGTGACTGGATTAAAACATCACAAAGTCTACAGCATGTATCACCTGATCCAGATGTCTGCTCTCCAAATATCTCAGCATTACCACTTCAAAATAGGTATGTGGCATTGTTAGTACACAAAAAGGCTGTCCTGACCCTAAAAGAAAGGATGATTTTATTTTAAACACATTGGATCAAATAAATATTTTCCTGCTTGCAACTTCTCTTTCTCTCTGTCCCTTTCTATACCAGTGGAGAAGGTCTTTCCTTTTCAACTCTTGTGGTCTAGAACCATGGGAGAATCTGTCCTCCCTCCTGGTGTCCCAACAGCTTTTGAGGATTTCTCAGAAAAGGCTGGTGTCTGAATGGACATGGCTTACCCTGGGAATTAAGACGACCCTGCTCTAAAATCCACTGTACAACATGGAAAGTATCAACTGTCATATACCATTGCTGAAGTGAAAACTGGTATACTGTCCCAAAGATAAAAATACATATATGAAAGGGATATCTGGATTGCCAAACAAAACTCTACACTTTGCTCCTCCTTTTTTCTTTCTCTCTTGTATATCACTAGTGATGTAAATTGATGAGGAAATCCATATGAATCCATATGAACTTTCCTAATTTCCATATGATGCATAAAAATTTCACACGGACATAAAAACATATAATACCTATTTATTTATTTATTCATTGATTTTCCACAGTAGTTACACTGATTTTTTTATTATCATTTAGACACTAGAAAAGCTCATCATCATGGTTGGGATTGCCCAGTCATGTGTCTTTCAACTCATCAACTGCAAAAGGCAGAAGGAGCAGTATTGTGTAAAAAGGCTGTCATTTTTTAAGACAAAGACATTCCAAAATAACACCAGTGTATTACAAAACAAAAAAGCCTTCATTCATATTTTGTCAACTCCTCTATATCAGTCTGATTGCAATAACAGAGGCTGAGCTGTGTAAGCATTGATAGTGACATAGAAGAAGAATGAGACCTATAATCAAATTAATACCTGTGAAAACAGTGCATGGAAATAAAAACAAGGGTTATTCCACTTCTTCTCTTCCTGTAGTGGATATTTTCACATTGTCTTATTTTACTTCTACTCTTTTGCTCTTCAGGTAGCTCACAGTAAGTTCCTTGCTCTCCCAAGAGGTTCCCTGAGCCCAGTGCCACCGAGGCACTCGGAGCCATCCGGAGCAGAGCCACGTGTGTAGGAGGTGATACCACAGCTCACCCTGGGATGATGCATGAGCACAGGAAGGGAGCCTTTCCCTCTAGGTAATGTATCTCACACACTTCACATGTAGTAAGTGTCTCTGGGGAGTTTTAAATCTTAATAAAACTAGTGATCTTAGAAAAACATTATTTTTACTGGACTACACAGATGTGTGTGGGGGGAAAAATCCCCAAACTCAAAACACCACTATCAGTTATTAGGTATTTCTAAGCATCTCTTTGTAAGCTTGCCACTTTAAAAAAAGAAACTGTTGTTTCATAAAAGCTCCAGAACACGACCAAATTTGTGCAAGTTGATTTACAGGAAAACAATTTGAAATTTACAAGGTTCATACATCCATACAATTGCATCACATTTTCATACATCAAAAATATAGAAATGAAGGGCCCCAGAGACAATAAAACATAATCTTGACATAATCTGTCAAGTTCCTTGGATTGATGTTGCACAGAGGAAATCTGTCTTTCAGCAAGGCTGAAAAAAAAGTAGCAGCAATCCAAAAATCAATTGTGTCTTTTGTAGTACAAATGATCATAATGTTTTGCATTACGTTTAATCCTGGAATATAATACCATTAGGAGTTTTGATATCACGGAATCACAAAATTCATCTCAATCACAGCATTTTTTCTTTATACTCTTCTCTCCTTTAATAAGGCAGAACAAGGATGAGAGAGAAATGACAGCAGCTTAGACATTTTGGTGCTCTGTCCCATCATCAGCCAGGTGAACCTAAAACGAAAAATCTGCTCAGGATTTGGTCATCAGCTGAAGAACAGTCAGGTAAAAACTGCTCAAGAACAGTGAGGCTTTGCATTAAATATTATACAAAGCCTAAGAAACTCTAATATTTCTTACAGGAAAAGGGGACTTTTATCCCCTGATAAATGTGGTGTGTATTTTAGGCAGGTAAAAGAGAAAATCTGTAAATGCAAATGAAACCTCATTTCCCCAGTCTTCATAAGCATCTGCTCATGGTAAAAGATATTCTGAGAGGTCTGAGTTGTTAGAACTGCTACTGGCATTTCAAAATGCCTTGAAGGGGTATGAATGAGAACTGCTGGCACACAATGGAATTAAAAACAACAAGAATTTTAACAGCAAAAATTTCTACAGAGAAATCACCATGTGTAAAGCACTGATAAATTTATTCTTTACTGAACTTCCAATTGAGTTATTACAGATTTGTATTGACCTAAATGTGGATTAATAGTCCCTGCTCTTGAAAGCTGGCATCTATAATATTTATGAATGAAGAATGTTTATCTCACATGTCTTCAAAGTAATTTTGTATGTTTTTGATTGAGCTGCTATCTGTCAGAATACTTTATAGAGAGGAAACAAAAAAAAAAACCTGGAGTGATGAAGACTTTTTTCTTATGACAGAGTAATAGTAACAGCTAACAGAAATAGCTGGGACTTAATATGTACAGCAGTCTGTGATCAATAATGTTTTAGGCTGATCTTTGCAGCTGAAATGTGTTCAATTAAATTATTTTCTTTTATAGATAAAGAACTACCAGGTTAATCACAAGGGCACCCAGGCAACACAGTGCTCATTTGTGCTTTTTAAGGATTTCCCAGTACAGTAAACCAGAACTGCCTATGCTCTATCACTCAGCAAGTAAGAGTCGAAAAATGGAAACCATAAGTAAATGCAGTGTTAACCTCCATGATTTGAAGGTTACTCCAGTTATTTGAATACCACATCAATCCTTAGACACCTCAGGGCAGCTGAATCATTCATGCATGCCAATGAATCTCAAATTGCAGTCATCTGAACCATGAAGCACATCTTAAGCAGTTACTCTCAACTGTGCTTAATTTTCAACAGCATTTATGTTGTTTCAGAAGTCTTTTAAACAATAGCTGTAAATGGTGACCATAACAGAAAAAGACCCAAGACTGCAATACACTACGGATTTGTCTAATTTGCAGAAGATTTATAAGCATTTTCATGGAAAGTGTGTCAAATGGACAATTTATACAGTGAATGAGAACAGCGGGACCACTTCATCTAATGCACCCATAAGCTGCAATAACCAAAGGACTCCTGCCACACTCCCTGTTTTTCTCTGTAACACATGACATTTCACCCAGCTATTCTACATTTAAGCTCAGTCTTTCTATTTTTAATTTGAAGATGGGAATCCACTGCTTCCTTTTCTGATCTGTTCCACCCACAGCTAATACAAAACGGCACAGAACAACCGAGAGTGCAGAGGTGGAACTTGGAGCTATTTTAGGAGGTAAATATTCTCCACTTCTATACAGTACAGCTACAGGCTTCCAAGAACTAGAACTACTACTCTTTAATCATCCATATAAGTAGAAATATGAACATTACTTATAAAGATGCATTTGCCTACCTTTCACTTTCAAACATTTTCCTGTTAATGCTTTTCCCATCAAACCAAGATTTTACATGCCATCTGCTTCCTCAATGAAACACTTAGGCAGTGGAAGGAGAACAACTTGTACAAACAGAATATTTACCCCAGGATATCACTGCTAAGAATAACCTTTATCCTGATTTCACATGATTTCCTATACAATGCATCGTAAAGTCAAACTTGACCTGTTTTAAAATAAAATAGTAATATTTCAAATGCAGCACTTCCACCAAAGAAATTACTGAGACTTGATAAATTTAAACTTATATACAGTGCAACTCAATCAGTTTAATTATGAATGGAAAACAAAAAATACATCATGCTCACTTAAAAAGTCACAGACCATAGCCATTCCTCAAAAGCAATGACAGCTTTTATGGCTTACAAATTGTCAAGCATTTTGAATTCTTCAGCCACAGAACACATTCATGTCAAATAGAGACCATAATTAAGAAAACACTAGCATTAGATAACCCCATGCAAAAAATGTTCCAGGTTAGAAACAAAGATATTCACCAAAACATGAAAGAAGTCTTCTGTCCAGAAAAATGTAAGTCAAAAATATATACAGCTTGCTCAAAAGAAATTGAGACCAAAACATAAAACTAGGTAATTTTTAGCAGTTCTGGAAGGGATAGCTGAGTTGAGAAAGATTTATTTAAGCAGTTATTTAGTAAAAGCCAAGAGTGGTGGGGAATTAATAAAAAATTGACAGGTAACTAACTAAGTCATTCCAAGCACTGACAAGGTTTCTTGCACCTTGCTTTGAAACAAGCATTTGGGTTCCATGCACTGTCCTGTGAGACATTCCCCAGTGTTTCCAGTTGTGTCTCCAGGAGCCTGACCATCCGTGGGAGCAGTAGCTGGCACTGAGCCCTGGCGCTTTATGCACTTCTCCAGCAGTTGCTTTTTCTGGGACCTCAGCAGGACTATAAAGAATAAAGGCAGCTACATGAATACAAGAAGGGAAATACACAGCCAGCACTGGGTTTACAGAGAACTTTGAGGAACTGGAAAATATGCCAGCAATTACCATAAGTATAATTTTAGAAATAATCTACAGTTT